TCAAGCAGAGGGCTACTAAGATGATGAGGGGACTGGAGCATCTCCCCTATGAGGACAGGCTGAGAGACCTGGGGCTCTTTAGCCTGGAGAAGACTGAGAGGGGACCTTATAAATACCTAAGGGGCAGATGTCAAGAGGATGGGGCCAGGCTCTTTTCAGTGATGCCCAGCGACAGGACAAGGGGCAACGGGCACAAACTGGAGCACAGGAAGTTCTGCCTCAACATGAGGAAAAAATTATTTACAATAAGGGTGACAGAGCACTGGAACAGGCTGCCCAAGGGAGGCTGGGGAGTCTCCTTCCCTGGAGACATTCAAAACCCACCTGGACATGGCCCTGTGCAACCTGCTCTAGGTGAACCTGCTTTAGCAAGGGTGTCGGACTAGATGATCTCCAGAGGTCCCTTCCAACCCCTGCCATTTTGTGATTCTGTGATTATCTTTTAGAAAAAAACAACCTTAATTTATGTTTGTTGTGTAAAGTATGTGTTTTATAGTGAAGATTTTTCTAAAATTATGTAAAAACACAACTAATGCACTTTTTTTTTCCTTTTGAAAGTCCTTGGTTTTACTGCAATAAATTGAGACAGAGCTGAATACAAATATTTTTTAAATAAACTTTAATCTTCAGAGACTGTTGTAAGATTCATCTTTTTCCCCCTGGTGGAAAGAGGAAGGTTTGAAAAGAAAATACACCAATAAGACATTATTTATTATATCTAGGGTTGTATTTGTACGTTGCACAAATTTTATTAAGTGTTGGTTTTTTTAAAGCTCAAGAGGTGTGACTTCTGAGAGATGATTGAAATTGCAAAGCATGTATGCAAAATAGGATGTGTGCTGGTTAAATATGAGGAAAAATGAAACGGAAGGTTTGATCTGTAAGTCTCTTTCTTTTTTACACTAATGTTACAGTCCAGGAGCTGCGTCTCTTTCTGCCAAGTGCAGATAGGGCCTAGCAATTTCAAAGTAAAAAACATTCATTCTGTCACTCCTGTAAAATAGAGGAAGTACAAGAAATTTCAGGTGATGGGAAAACTTGGAAAAATAAGTGGCTCCCCCTGCTGCTAATTGTAGGAGAGCAAATGTAACTCAGTAAATGATGAGAGCTATTAGTTGCCAAATGTTAGTCTGTGCATAATAACAATTTTAACAATTTAAAAATGCAGTAATTTATCTGAAGATTTTTCCAATTTTATTACATCAAGTCTGTTATAGGTATTTGGAAATAGACGTGGCATTGTTTTGAAACACGTTAGAAGATTGGACAGATAACCAGAAAAGCATGCTCCTGACTGGAGCAAGACACACCAAAAACCACCAGAAAGGTCAGCCAACAGGCTGGTTTTCTTTTGGCTGCGACTTTGTGTCTGAGGAAGAATCTCGCAGTGTGAAGCAAGTGCTGAATTCAGGTCGCAGACCTGTTGTGCCACCATGCTGAGACCCATTTGTATGTCTGAGATTCTGAAGATCTCTTTCAGCATTAGACCTTAAAATCATTCTCTTTTGTAAGTAAGAATAGCCACTGCTTTTGTTGTTACAACCTGTGGTAGAGCTTGGCAGCAGCACAGGAGAGAAAGACCCCACATTGTTTGGAGCCAACTTAGTGCCTGATTTATGTTGAAAAAGAAGGGGGAATGCCTGGAATGCTATAGCAAGCAAGAGAGTCCAGGAGTTAAAGTTTAACTTTCATCATTCAACGAAAAGTTGACAAAGGTTATTAATCGTCAGGAAGTATGTGGGAGCCGTTGGGTTTCAGTGAATGTACTGGTAGATCTCTTGTGTGTACATCTCCATGGTAAGTTTCACTGTAAGCACCACAGCCAAGATAGGATTTGAATTAAATAACCAGATTTATATAATTAGGAAACTCAGGGTTGCATGTTTTATTGCTAGTATTGTAAATATCCCACCACATTCATGACCCAAAGTTGCTAGCAACCATAGCAAAAGGCAGTCCCTGCTTAAACCTTGAATCATTTACAATTTGATTACACCAAAAGGATGTACAGAGTGTGAGTGGGAAATAATACAGGAGTACTTTTCCATGCGTGATCCTGTTGATATTTTTGGCAAAAGAAGGATGTGTGCTGTAACTTGCAGTTGATGTTTGTTCTGTAAACTTGTTCAATGTGCAATGTCTCTCCCTCAGTTTGTTCCCTTACTGGTTTTGTTCAACTTTCAAACATTTTGTTGGGCAGTCTGAGTCTTAGATTACAATATAGAAGGCGTAACTGTGTATAAATGCATTTTTGCACAAATAAATTCACATATCATAATATCACCAGAGTTACATTGCATTTGTGTTAGCAAACTAAAAATATGCTGAATCAAGCTGGGGCTTGGGATGTTAAAGTCTGTCTTGTTGCTCTTTGTTGAACCACTGGCATGAAAGTTTCTGTTGAAGCTTGGATCCTACAAAAAGGAATCACGCAGGCAGACCCTTAAATTCCTGCTCCCCAGCATCCTAGATCATCCCATTTCATTCTGCCTGAAGGATCAGGAATGAGCAAAGGGTAGAAGGTTGTCCCTCCTTCTGCTATGAGAAATAAAGGATGCATTAGGCGCATTCAGTCAAGGCTAGCCTTCAGCTTTTAAGGTCAGGAAGCTGAAATGGCTCAGAGCTCTTGAACAGATTTTGTCAGCAAAGAAGAATGTTGAGGACTCCTGCTTGCTGGCAGATGTTTGTGGAGCTCCTGGAGTATTTAGCAGATGTTCATTATTCCGAAGGCTTGCATAAATAAAAAAGGTATTGCTTTTATGGTAAAGTTAATATAGCAAAGTTCACTTAGAACTCAACTTAAAGAAGCAGAGCCAAGGTCCATGTGAAAGGAGTTTGAAATGAAACATAGGATAGCAACACATCTGATACCCAGGGTGAGAGGGTGCACGTGGCAATGTGATGATCCTACCGGGCTCAAGACAGAAGGAGCAAAAGTTTGCACAGAGCTTTTTTAGTATATTTTGCAAAGGAATGCAGTCATTTAGTGATCCTAAATGCCATTTACACCACTTGTGAGGAAAATGCAAAAGGAAAATACAAAATGAAAATGAATTTTGGTACCTTTTTTTTTCCCCCCATTTGGCAAATGTATGGTCAGTAATCTCATATTTCTGATGGAAAACTTAGTATTTATTTAGGCTTTGCTAGTACAGTGGGGCTGTGATGTGGTTGGAATGAATTTGAAGGGATTGAGTGGGTTTTGCATGTGATAAAAGGAACACATTTTTAACGTGCCATATCAATATATCTGTTTAGGTTTATTATAATAATATGTGGTTGGCTGGGGTTTTTTTGGACTCTGTGTGAGTGAATAGGATGTGTTTACTTAATTCCCAAAAGACAATTTCTCATATCAGAGGTACTTAATGTCATATGAGTTTTTGTGGTTGATTATCTGATAGATTATGTGACGAGGTCTTTTTCTTTGGCTTATTAAGTATAGAAGTGTAATCATCTTTGTCATCTCTTCTGTTAAAGTTAGCAAATGCTGCATTAGCAGATGCTGGCCGAGTTGTGGACACTAAACTTAGTTGTGTCATAGGGAGTGACTAGTGTGATTAGGGAATACATTATGATGAAGATTTCTGTCGGTGCCCTCAGTTGACTGAAGAAAAACGTGGCTGAAATCACAGGGTGAAGAAGGAAGTGACACAGAAAGGATAACAGGTCATACGTGAACAATGACATGAGTAAATGGGTCTTGTGCCCTAGGAAAATTGATGCTTTAAATATTTAGTGTTCAAATTTTAGTTGATTCAACAAAATGAGAAAAGCTATGAATATAGTTGTGCAAGATGAGATCCTCCATCCCCACCACCACTGCAGCAGGACAGGAGGAATGCAAGGAACTTGGCAAGTTCTAAATTTGTTTAAAGAACCAAGGACAACAGCCAGAAGCTTGTGAAGTTCCTCTTGGGGGAGGAGAGGAGAGCGTGTTGTGAACTACGCATTCCCGATGTCTTCAGTAGGTGCTGCTGCTCACAGGGAAACTTGGGAACAATGCTCCAGTTCAGACAGCTCCCGAAGACTTGTCTGGATTATGTCAGAGACACTCCTGCCTTGGCAACTGCCTGAAGTCAGAAGGCTCAAAGCTCTGCTGTGGTTTTCCTGAGCTGTGAGTTCCTCTTTCACCTCCAAGGAAAGCATTCCTTCAGTTGGGTTTCTGATACTAGCTTCCACAAAGCAGGCTGAGTAAAGCCTATTGAGAATACAAGTGCTGTATAATATAAAGTAGCAACTGCAAAACTATGTGTGTCAGTCTATAATATCAGACAATATTGCAGATGAGTATTAATCATGTAGTTTATAGTTCACAGTTCTCATAAAGAGAAATCTTTGGAACTTCTAGGAAGGCATTCTAGCAGTATCTTGAAATGCTGGGAAGTTATCATAGTGAAATAGCTGTTGCAATACAGGTTGATAATTTTAAATTCCTTCTGGCTTTTTGTTAGTATGATCAAATATTTCAGCGTCTCTTCAGAGATAGCCTTTGTGTTTGAAAAGTAGACCTCATTTTTACTCTTTTACTAGGGGGTATCCACAGTACTGATCCATACCTCACGAATATTAGAAGCTGTTTTTTCAGCTGAAACCAAAAGAAGCATTTTTTTAATTGTAGTTTTTAAAATGTCTACTGAAATGTAATTGTACATTGAAAAAATACCATAAACAATTCAGTCTTTAGCCTTCTAACCAGTTAAAAACTACTGAAAGTGCCTTAACGCAAAGAAAGATGATAATAAGGTCTTGTTTGTAAAATAACACCAGATACCTAGTCTCTCTCACAATCTGAGAACTATTGCGATTTACGTCAAAACAGTGGCTTAACTTTTTTGTATTACATGTCACACCTACCTATATGTCAAAATATAAAAAATGTGCAGGACGTTTACCTGAAGTTATACATCCATTTTTATATAAACAGATCACATTTACTGCTTGGCCACATAACACAAAGTCTTCCTAGAAGTTTTTGGTCAAACTAATTTTTCATTGTTTTGCAGTCATCCAGCTCTCTGAAGGCATCTTATGAAGACTGGCTGCTGACATACGGCTTGAGCGTCTCTCCTTTTCACATGCGATGGCAAACAGCTCTCTTCAACCGCCAGTTCTACAATTGGGGGAGATGGAAACCCAGATTTCTGTATTTATGGTATAAATTCAGGATTTATTTTTTTTCCTATCAAACCCAGATTTCTGTATTTATGGTATACATTCAGGATTTATTTTTTTTCCTATCAAACTTAACCACATCTGTGCCTTTCAGCCTTAAAAGTGTGATGGATAGACATGGTTATTTTACTAGGCTAACGATAAAACCAAACTAGTGCTGTTGCCATAATTGGCCTATGCCAGTATGAGTCTTTCTCCTCTGCTGAAAAAGACATAGCTGTAATATAAATTGCATATTGAGATGCTATAAAACTAGAAATCTGTAAACTATTTTTACCTGTGGTTTGAACTATACATAGTTCTTAAGAGTAGAGCTATTATGTGTAATACTGCATACAGATCTGTCCATCACTGCACTCCCCTGATCACTACAGTTTACAAAGATTCAAAGACAGTTGTGTCCCGTTGTCAATCATTGCCCAGACTTTCAGCAACTGTACCTGCTCAGAAGCACATTGCTCACCTTCTGTCTTTTATCTGCCTGCACCTTTCACTGCTAACATTGCACAGACTGCTGGGAATCGGTAAATATGCAGAGTGGTTAGTATGGGTGCTCCTGGACTGCTTCAGAAAACTATTGGTCAGTTGCCTTCCTAGCATTACTTTATATCTGCTTTGAAAATAAAAAATTAGTAAGGTTTGAATTTCTTTTCATTTCCTGTATTGCTACCCTCAGTGAGATAGTAATAAAAAGAGGTCTGCTTCATACTGGTTTCTCTCATACATAATGATTTTACTATTTCAGTCTGAAATAGTTCTATATAAATCACAATTTTTAATGTTTGTAATTTATTAATATAATTTTTTCACCAGTCTTTTTAATTAACATTACAAGTTCACATTGCTTAAAATAAATCTGCTAATTCCCTGTGAGCTTCATTAAAAATGGTAAGAGAACAATTACGCTATTGTGAGAGGGAGAAGGACTGGTAGTCAGCTGAAGTGTTTTTGCTCGAAGATAAATTTTATCACATCCTTCAACTATTGGACAGTGTAAAATAATAATAATAATGCTGAATAAAAGTTCACCACTGGATGGACTGACATAAACTGAAATTATTTTCAACACTGGTTTTAATGAAAAATAAATTGGTGAGGAGAACAATGTGTTTAAGTAATTGATTTTAATCTGGCCTTGCAGTTGTACCTTTCAGTTGTTCTTTAAAAAAGGTTGAGTCTCATTTCTTGTTCTTTAAGTCTTTTTATTGTTTTTGAGGAAGATGCAAAATTTACTGGAAAAGCTTATATAAATAATATGTGGTCCTACCCCATCATTTGATCCAGGTCTCTAAATATGCAATGGTGTGGTGCACCATGGTAAATTGTACATTGTTAGCTATGTTCTTATAATCATAGCTAATGGCAAGTGACATGTATTGGGTAACTGAATAAAATTTAGAATGTGTAAGAATAACATAAAAATATTTGAAAATTAATCAGGATGTGGTTTGGATGAAAAACATTTATTAAACAAGGAAAACAGTGTATGTCGTTATTGTTATTAGTTTCCTTTGGCTAATATTTTTGTACTGGATTGTTGATGTGTGAATGATAGCAGCATTAGGTAAGATTTGCCCTCTGAGTTTGGTGTGCTAAGTTGTGCTAAAGCAGTTACGTGTCCGAGGAATATACCCTGTCTTCTTGCAGCTATGCATTGCTAAACTGTTTGCTTCTCTCTGTAGGTTCAGCATAGGAATGGTGTTTGGTATAGTTGCCATGTTTGGCTCTGTTATTCTTCTCGGAAAGACACTGATGCAAACACTGACACAGATGCTCACTGAGGCACCGAAAGCCCAGAATGATCGTATGCTGCAAGTTGTGGTAAGTGTTCTCTCCTCACGTCTTTATTTGAGACTTGTGAACTTATCTTATCCAGCTTCTTAATGGGGTATGTGATTCTTAAATCCTCCCATGCAAGAATAACTTAACTCCTGTTATTCATCTACATTAAAATTTGCTGGTTTGTTATCAGCCTTAAAAATGGGGAATAGAGGTAGTAAAAGAGGAGAAGACAAATGAAGGCAAACATGTGGAAGAGGTTATATTAAAATTTCTCAAGAGTGAGAATTGGCTAGTAATTTTGAAAAGTCCTAAATTGTCATGATGCTAAGAATACAAAACAGCTAAGAATTTGCCTCCTCTGAGCTGTGCAATGTAGAGGCACTGGTGGCCTTAAAGTTTGCAAAGCACATCCATAATCCACAAGAAGAGAGGAGTCCTGTTTCATTTATTACAACACAAAACATCAGTGGAAAAGGAAAAAAGTGTGATGAGCTTTGTGTGATAGTGGAAACAAAGATTCGTTAGTGAGAAGATGGCATATTTTTTAATTGTTAAGGACTTATGCCCTAATTTACAGTGTGAAACTGAAAGTGCTGTTTCTGGCAGTATCTAGTCAAAGGCCTATTAAAAATATATTTAATTGTTTTATGCATTTCTGATGCTGGACAATATATTGTATGGTTTTAGAAAGGAATATATTTCACAGAATGGGAGAGATTGCAAATACTGTCTTTTTTTTTCTCTCTGCACAAGGCAGTGATGGAAGAAGTGACATTGCCTTACAAAGTTTTAACCTGGAAGGATTCCTAGCCATCCTTATTTCCCTGAGACTGCTATCTGGCCAGAATGTGTGGTCATTTTCCAGGAATACAGAAAGTCCTGTGAGATATCCTTCTGCATGGTGCCCAACCATTTTACTCTAAGTGCTCAGCTAGTCTAGTGAACAGAAGTTGAGAATCGTGTGCTGCCATGATAGGCCTTCCCTTAAGTGCTAAATGGCCTACGTGCAGCTAGACTTAAAAAATCGCATGAGTGCAGGAAGCCTGATCATTAGCATGTGCTATAAACTCAGTGCCTTTGGGATGGATTGGGTCTGTTGCTGTTTCACACGTGCAGGGTGAATATAGCAAATGCAGTATGTGCTGGCCAAAGCAGGCAACGAGACCTGGGAGAGAACTGCTGGTACTGCCACTGCAGTCACCTGGTCCACAGCCTCCTCCTGAATTATCTCCAGAAACAGACAGGAGTGGGCATTCTGTGCATCCAGTAGAGCACAAGTTGAACATGAGACAGAAAATTTTTAATTTACATGCCAACAAGGTCTATCCTAAGCATGTATGTCTATTACATCCTGGAGTAAGGAAAGCCTCCCTGACATCTTAATTTTCTGAGATCATTATATGGATCTATCCACTTCTGTGACACCAGAGTAAAGCAGTCATTTGTAATACATTGCTCCTTGGAGGAAATAACATAGAGGCAACCAAAGATGAGCCTTTGGAATTAATCTGGTGTGAACTGGAACCATGAAAGCAGAAATCTAGGATAATGTTCACAATTTCAATGTGGAATTGATTCCTCAGTGACTGCCTACTGGCAATATCACAGCATCCAAACCAAGGACAGACTGGCACTGTAAAAGATGTAATGTATAGGGATAATGCAATGTCATGTATGGGGATAAGGTTGCTTCTCTGAAGTGGTTCTCTTGACTTTCCTACCTTATTCTTGACTTGTGGTTCTCTTTCTTTCCTACCTTATTCTTTCATTTCTGAATGGTCACAGTTGTATAATTCTGCCTTTAAATTGTTTCAGTATTCTTTCGGAGGGGAGTGTGCTAGCATAAGTTGACAGAAAACAGTGACCCATATGTGGTTGCAAAGAGTTGAAGAACAAGTGAGGAGAGCCTTCTCCTCCTTTAAATTTGTATTTGACTGCCTGGGAGAGAGTGAGTTAGTTTTTTTTTAAATGCAACTTTTTTTTTAACTGAACTTTAGCCCATAGCATAAATTTGTTTAGCCTTTAGCCTTTGGCTGTGGAGAGAGGGAGATAGTTCTGCTTGTGTTTTTTGATTAAGATTTTTGTGCCCCTCCTCGTTTGTTCAGTCATGTACTTTAGTTAAAATACCTGTCTGTGGCTAACTGGGCTGTTTTTTTTCAGCTGATCCCTCTTCTGTTGGTTGCCTACTGATAAAAATGGGAGAGGCAGATTGGTTACTAGCAGAGAATCTTCTTTTACTGAAGGCATTTCCAGAAGACTTTAAGATATAAGATGACAGTACTTATCAACAAAATACTGCTATTGATTTCAGAACCCTTCATGAGAGTTAGCTTCCCATTTAGGTGAATCTTAAACTAGGTTCTTTGACCTGATGTCTGAAAGCATCTAGTGCTGTGCTCTTAACAGGCTGTGGTCACGGTGGTATTAAGATGGCAACTCTTGCTATTGCTATTTGTCCTCCCATGTGCCTGGAGCAGAGGGCCACTGGCAACACCACTTATCTGATGCATTAGTGCCGCCAGCTGATGCTGCAATACGAGCAATGGATGCTTAATGAATGAAGAGCAGCTGTCTTCATGCAGTGAGGTACAATAGTCGTACCAGTTAAGAGAAATGTCTTGGTCATAATCACACTCTGGACAGAATTGGTGAAATTATTTGGCTTAACATTAATGAAAACAGTCCTTTGAAGGATTTCTTTTAGCTAGATTGTCTCACCAACCTACTGTAAAGTTCTGCTGCATGGGTAGGTGAATGTGAGGAATATATAGTTGAAGAATGTGCAGAACTGAATGAAGGTAGAAGCAAACAGGATCTGCTCAGTTGGATCTGCAGCCTTTTGTGTCCCACAGGGGTAGTTTTCAGAGAGTCCTGTAGACAGGCCAGGAGTTTTTGGTCATAGCATCTCTTTTCTGCCACTGGATTGCAATTCAAGTTGTGTTCACATCAGCTGCTAGAGACTGTAGTGGAGCGCACCCTGCTTCAAGTGAGGAGAGCTGTGGAGCAGACAGGAGAGCAATCCCAGAGCCTGCAGCAGAAGTGGCCTTATCATCCCGCTGCAGCACAGCAACTGAGCGGGGCTGGGAACCAAGCAGGAGGAGAGAGGGGATAGTTCCTCATTCTCTGACTCGTGACTGCTTTGAAGCCCATCTGGAAGCAGTCGGTGTCTCATGACTAGTGCAATGAAGGACTTGGGGACCGGTGGGAATCCACAGCAACAGGAGGAATGTGAGGGGCCTGCATATTATGTCTTACATAAATGAAAATAGTATACTTATTTCAAGTGGGTTTGTTTTTTTTAAAGGTTAAATTGCCATATGTAGACTGCCAAAACTTGAACAATAGACAAAAATTATCCTTTTTTGACCTTGTAAATTTTGTATAGTCTCGTGATTTGGATAGGGAGAGAGAAGGGAGACTGACAGTTCCAGTTGTAAGCTCATTTTTTGAACTTCCAGGGCTCATAGTGTTTTAAGTGCATACAGTTTTTTTAAATTTTTCTTTGAAGGGTGGATCTTCTCTGTAGCTACATGACTTGCTGGGGGAAATTGTAAACTAATGCTCACGGTTGCCAAGCCTGTTTCATTTGAGTGGAAGTCTGTGTACCTCTTTGTAAACTTCTCAAGCTTAATATAGAGTGGGACACATTTGGTCAGGGCTGTGGGGAATAAGTAGGGCAGGGAGAAGACTTTTGTGCCTGGAGAGCTTTTCAGCCTTCAACAAAAAAAAATATCTTTAATATATTTTAAAATACATTGAATAAATTGGGAGAAGAGGTACAAACTGATAGTGCTGTGTGACAACAGCCCCTGTTCTGTTGTTGGTCTGAAGAAGTTGAGTGAGAGCAGCAAGGTTAGGGACAGAGTGATTTGTCTTTGTACTTCTTGGTTTCCTCCTGTGTTTTGTTTTGTTGTCATGCCCACATCAACAGGTGCCTGGTGTAAATTTGCCTGTCAGCCAGCTGACCTATTTCTTCTCTGCAATCCTCATCAGTGGTGTGATACATGAAGTCGGCCATGGGGTGGCAGCTATTCGGTAATACAAATTACTTTTCTCTTACTGTGTGCCAACAAAGCCTGATATGCCAGAGCGTTTACTTACAGGTGAATGTTGTTAGCACTGCTTCAGTTTATCTAGAGAGTCTATTTGTTCTGTATTTCATAGCTTCCTTATATTTGGAAGTTTGGAAGGGTGTACAATTAAGCATAGAATTTTAATACAGTGTCTATTCTACAGATCATGACAAAGGACTTCTGCTTTGCAAATATACCACACTGCACCAGGTTTAAAATAATACTTATTTTAAGTGGTCCTGTTTTTCACACAGCAATTGCATTTCTGCAGCTGCAACACTTGAAGAGGACCCGTGCGCTATTGCACAATGGTACTTTAAAATAGATTTTAAATTGATTTGTTTAAACATAGCTTGTGAAGTAGCATACCAACAGGCTGAAGCAGTAACTCAGTTGAATGTGATTTGCCCCTGTTAATCTCAGTGATGTGTTAATTTTGATCAAAGGTGGTATTTTTAACATCACTTAACTATGATGATTACTGCACAAAAAAGTTATTTGACGTGGTGTAGTCATTACTGTTAAATGACTCTCTAGCATAAGAGGGTTAAGTGGTGGTTACTGGGACTGATACTCAGGTGTCCTCTGCATTTTTCCTGGACATCACCATTATCTGTCCCGTGAGCATGAAGCCTTAAGTTGTTTCTCTGATTTTCTTGAGTGTAGGGAGTCATGACCGCATCCTAACAGATTACTACCTTTTTTATAACCCCAAAATTTCTCAGTTAAAAGAGTGGTTTGGGACACTCTGTGTTTCATATGCTCTGTTTGTCTTTCAGCTTTTTTCCTCTAATAATTTCAGGGATTTTTCTGTGGAGGATGAAACTCTTGCAATTACTCATCCTGCCACAGGAAGAAGCAATGAAATTTCCTTTATCTTACAGTACCTTCACATGCTGCTGGTTAACTGCAGAGAAGCTAGGAGTAACTGTGGAGCTCTTTTTACCAGAATGAATAATTCTTATACCTTAGTGGCATGATAACTTCATTCAAGATCTGGAGCAAAGGCTCTGAATATTCAAGTTTGGGTTATGTTTTTGTCAAAAAATTGATTCTCAGCTGTTGCAAGGGGAAAAATTAGTTTGTCCAATGTACACTGCTGTTGCTGCTGCTGTTTTCTGCTTGACTATTTTATTTTATTTTTTTCCTCCTAGCACAGGTTGGGTCTATAGTGCTCTTAGGGTCAATCCTCAGGGTTTAGGCTTTATTAAATAGCTGTCCTGTGGGCAAATTTTATTATTCTGGTAAATCACTTTGACACCCTGAAATCTAATACATTTTCACCAACTGCAGTTCAAGATAGTATTGTCTGTGAACTACAAGAGCTTAAAATATTTGAGCCTTATCTTAGTCAAGGCTTGTGTCAAAAAAGCCTTTTTCTTCCTCCCTCTGTACCTCCTAACCAAATAATCACGTATAGGCATTAGACTGCCTATTACTAATTGGTAGCATGGGTAGGTCTGATGAGGTAACTCCAGGAAATTAATGTATTTCTTCATTCCAATTAATTTTGTCTAATTCTGTGTCGTCTTTTATTGTATATGCACAATAAATACATAAATCTTAGAACCATAGAATGGTTTAGTTTGAAAGGGACCTTACAGATCATCTAGTTCCAACCCCCTGCCGTGGCAGGGACACCTTCCACTAGACCAAGTTGCTCCAAGCCCCATCCAGCCTGGCCTTGAACACTGCCAGGGAGGGCGCAGCCACAGCTTCTCTGGGCAGCCTGTGACAGTGCCTCACCAACCTCACAGTAAAGAATTTCTTCCTAATAACCAATCTAAATCTCCCCTCTTTCGGTTTGAAACCGTTACCCCTCGTCCTATCACTGCACTCCCTGATCAAGAATCCCTCCCCACCTTTCCTGCAGGCCCCCTTTAAGCACTGGAAGGCCGCTCTAAGGTCTCCCCGGAGCCTTCTCTTCTCCAGGCTGAACAACCCCAACTCTCTCAGCCTGTCCTCATAGGGGAGGTGCTCCAGCCCCCTGGTAATCTCTGTGGCCCTCCTCTGGACCCACTTGAGCAGGTCCATGCCTGTCTTATGCTGGGGCCCCCAGAGCTGAACACAGTACTGCAGGTGGTATGTCACAAGAGCAGAGTAGAGGGTGAGAATCACCTCATCTTTTGATGGAGCCCAGGATGCAATTGGCTTTCTGGGCTGCGAGCGCACCTTGCTGGCTTATATTCAGTTTTTCATCCACCAGCACCCCAAGACCTTCTCAGCAGGGCTGCTCTCAATCCACTCATCGCCCAGCCTGTCTCTGTGTTTGGGATTGTCCCAACCCAGGTGCAGGACCTTGTCCTTGGCCTTGTTGAATCTCATGAGGTTTGCACGGGGCCACCTCTGCAGCCTGTCAAGGTCCCTCTGGATGGCCTCCCTTCTCCGCAGTGTGTCGACTCCACCACACAGCTTGGTGTCGTCGGCAAACTTGCTGAGGGTGCACTCAGTCCCACTGTCCATGTCGACGACAAAGATGTTAAACAGCTCCAGTCCCAGTACCAACCACTGAGTAACGCCACTCATTACTGGTCTCCATTTGGATATTGAGCTGTTGACCGCGACTCTTTGACCATCCAACCAATTCCTGATCCACTGAGTGATCCATCCATCAAATCCACGTCTCTCCAATTTAGAAACAAAGATGTCATGCGGGACAGTGTCGAACTCCTTACACAATGTGAATAAATAAAATACTATGCCCAGTATACTGTCTCAGTAAAGATATGGGATTAGCTGATCTGTGCCTGGTTTGTCTTGGAACATGATTGTCTTGGAATAATAATGGGAATGTGATCGCCTTGGCATATAATTGTCATGCTTCTGTAAGTCCCTTATGAAATTTATAGCTTCATAAAACCTTTATGTCGTTATTCCAGAAAGTGCCATTTAAAAAGCAATTGTAAAACCTCTGAAAAAAAAATTATTGTCTGTATGACAGTGTCAGCTACTAATATATTTAAACAGCATTTTAGGTCGTTTTAACCTTTTCGCTTATTTTCATTTTTTCAGATGACATTTCCCTCATTTTTGTTAGTTTACAATTTACAATAAGTTTCTTTAAAACAACAGCAATTGCTTCTTCCAGATAATTTTTCACAGATTAGTTTGAAATTGCATCCTACAGGCTGCGATTTCTTTATTTCAAAGAAAAAAGCCCCCAAATGTTAAAATGTATGTTGACTTGAAAGTACTTTTTCTTTTTTAAGTATTTTATTTATTACTGTTACCAGGAGACAGAGAAGAAGTTGAACTTACCCTTTGTTTTTTGCCAGGCTCAAAAATGTATACTGCTTAAAAGTGGCAACAATTGCAGAAAACATCCTTTAGTTTAATTATCTTTCAAATATTTATATTATAAAAATAAATTACTTTTATTATTTTAATTATTCTCATAAAAAATGTGTGTGTTATGTAGAATCTCTCAGTTTTTCATTTGTTTGTTTACAGTAACACCATTTTTCTTCTTTTTAAGAGAACAAGTACGATTTAATGGATTTGGGATTTTTATCTTCATTGTCTATCCTGGAGCTTTTGTTGACCTCTTCACAACCCACTTGCAACTGATATCTCCAGTCCAGCAGTTAAGGATATTTTGTGCAGGTAATAATTTGTGCTTTTTTATTAAATCTTTGCTTAGCACAATTACTTATTCTACAAGCATCATTTGTGAATCCTTGATGGAGGATTGAAGGTTTAAAATGAAGAAGTACAAAAGCTTCTCTTTACCTAAAGGTCATCCTCCTGTTCTGAACCTAAATTGTGATTTCAGAAAATCATTTGATCATTACTGTCCATATTGTGCTGTTTTCTGGAGGACTGATGTCAGTTTCTAGGAGCTTAAATGAATACCAGTTTCCTGTCATGAAAAATGTTATTAAAGCCTAGATCTGATTCAGAATAGTTGCATAAGAAATTCCATTTGTGTGGTTGGTGAAAAAAAATGTGTTTTCTGACCTTCCTCTCTCATTAGGACAAGCTCTTAGACCAGCTCAGGTGCAGAAGTTCCTTTGTCTTTTTTTTTTTTTTTGTCTTGCATACTGTATGTAGCAAAACTTTGGAGCACACAAGCTGGAAAATACTCAGCCAGAAGACTGGTTGTATGAGAACATGACTTGCTGTCACAGGTGAACACCCCTGAGCAATTCACTACCATTTTCTGAAATAGTAGCAATCTATTATGTGATTTTTCAATAGTATTGTGAGTGATTTTCAGTGACGTGCGAGTTATGTTATTATACAGGTCACTGTGTTTTGATGTTGCCACCAGGAGGAAAAAAAAGCTAAACCACAAACATCCAAAGAGAATCACAGCTTATGGCTACAAATAACCTCCAAATGTTTTTGATTTTATATTTTTTGAAGACTCTGGCTGCTGGGAAGTAGAGCCTTGTTGCTGTGGAAAGTTAGACTGAGATTGTGTTGTGCTACCTCAACCACTTGTATTATTGATTCCTAGAGACAAAGGTGGTTCTCAAACTACTGAAATAAAGATAGAAAAGTTAGTATCTTGGTTTCATTCTTGATACTGATGATTTTCTGTTGCAAAGGACAGTAGGATAACAGCCAGCCTGTTGTAATGTTTAGCTACTAACATTGTTTCTTGAATATTATAACTAAAACATTATATAGAGGGTTTTAGGCTGGGCATACAGAAGCCTTTAGCAAAGTGTATTTTCAGGCTTTCATAAATAAAGTAAATGATAATAAATGTTAGGCAAGTAAATATATCTATATTCCAAATACCCTAATGAACTAAAGTCATTCACTGCAATAGGCTAACTTTTATGAAGCCCTGTTTCTCATATTAATCAATTTTCATTTCCAGCTACTGTGAACGGAACTGAAAGATAAGACATACTGATTTTCAAAATAGCTTGCTTACGTACATTCCTGAGAACTCATCTAGAAAAATAAGATTATAAGCTGTAATAGAAAATGATTGCTTGCATGTTTTTGATGACAAGTATCTGTAATAATTTTTCAGGTTTCTTGGGAAACATGAAATAGGGGAATACAAGGTAGGAACAAGCATGTTGCAGGACTGGTTGGCATCAATGGCTTGTTACCAGTTAGGTGTAACAAATATATGCATTTTTTTACAGGTAATGATAGGTGTGTTTCAGAACTAGGATGTTTGATAATGATAAAATGTGATATTCAGTAAACTTGACTTAGTGTTTCTTAATTGTCAGAGCAGTTGAATGAACATGTTCTCAGTATTCAGAAGATCTGAGTTTACAGAGACACGCTTTCAGATTTTTCTATGGCAGCTAAGTAAAAGAGCTAGAGTAGAGAATGACACTGAATATTCCTTTTGTAGCCCACCTCTATACTCTGGAGATTAAAGAGTATATTTGTTGTACAGTAGATGGCATCATGAGTTCAAGAATAGTGAATGAGCGTTCTTGTAGGACTTGTGCTATTTTTAGCATTAATTCTATGCCTAGTAGATGAAAAGTGCTTCTATACAGCACTTTCTTATAATTAGTTCAAATATACATATTATTTTTTGAGATCCTTTTTAATATGTTTTGTCTTGTCTTTATCAGAAAAAGGCATTAAAGATTTTTAAAACATTATTTCAAGGTCTTTTAAGGGTTGTGTAAAGTGTCCCTTTTTAAATATAAGAAATTAGGTATCCAAGGATGAGGCTGTTTTAGCAAAATAAAATTGATGGAATACTCAGCAGTGTGCTTCTACAGGTATTCCTGTTTTGAGCCTGTTCATTTTTCTATGGATTGCCAGTGATGAATTTGAAGCCTTTCAATTTAGACTTTTCTGCTGTATTCCACACAGCAAACCATGTAGATTATGGTATTAAGGCCCATGTTTTCCTAGGTGTTTGAATGTATTCCTTGTCACCCTCCAGCAGTTCCATCACCTCTTTAATTTTAATTTTTTTCCAGTTTACTATCTCTAGCAGCCACACTGTTACAAAGGAAATTTGTTTCTGTCTTAGATTTTGATCCTTTCTGAAGCTGGAAAAAGTAAAGTTTGTTTTTAAGATAAAAAAATTAAAACAAGTTAAAATATAAACTTAATACTTCTAGTTTTCTTGCACGAGTGTGTGTGATGTTTATATGTATATGTGTGGGATAAAGACAACTGAATGCTGAAACATTTAATCTATCTGAGTGCCTTTCAATGAGATGATGAAAAACTTAACAGAAACAGAAATCACTTTAAGACACACCTACTAGTGAAAATGGCAACAAACTTTTAGTTAAAGCACTCAGAAAAAAAAAGTCTCTCATTTGTGCAGCGTCAGAAACATAAAATAAGACCAGGTAAGATGTAGAGATAGCCAGGGGAAAAAAAGACTTATGTTATGATTCCTGTGTTATATACAGTGCAAGAAAGATAGGTTTATATGTTTTTAAATCTATTTACTTTAGTTCCTGTCCTGTGTACTGTACTGTAAACACAGAATGGAATCAAACCTCTCTTAACAAGATGAAGCACTATATGAAGGAAATAAGGAGTCTTCAACATTCAAAAGTTTTCCTGCATTGGTCATACAATATGTTTGTCCAAGAACACAAATGAAATGAGAAAATTTGTGTAGTACTGGATGTTGAAGGAAGCCAAGTGTGTCTTATGATAGCAATTCATTTCTTCCTATGGAGAGCAGCATACTATAAAGATTGCAGTTGAAAATATGTTGCCCGAAATAACGTGTCAGGGAATGCTGATTGCACAACTTTTCTTGATGTGGTTTTAGGTCCAGATTTTCTTGTAAAAGAAGCCTTTTTTCAAATAACTTTCTAAACTTGTTTGGCACATATACATGTAATTATTTTCATTGATACAATGGAGATAACCATGAAAAACACTGAATTGCAACTAAATTTCATCCATCTTGCTGACTAGAACAAACAGTATTTATTCGTGTCATATTCTTAATCAAGTCCCTTGATTAAGATTTTTAAATTCAACAGATTATTTTGGTGGGAAGTGACAAGTAGTACATTTCATTCCACTACTTTTTTTAATAGTTATGATTGATGATGACTCTGTAGGTAGAAACTGTAGTTTAAGAATTGATTCAGAAGCCCAGTTTTTCTTCTGGATACTCTGCCCACTAGATATGCTACATAGAAAAGTAGTGTTATGTGATGAAATATCAATATGGTAGAATGCACCTTAAAAATGGACTTACCATTTCTCTGTCTTTTCTGATAGTGTAATTCTCAGGGATTCAGAGGCTTCTCTTAAACACCCCTGTAAAGTGACATCACAGAAACTTAAATTTGTAAAGTTACACGTATTCTTTCATGCTTATGTTCACAGATTAACTTTTCATCCATTCTTACAGTAATTGTTTCAGGAAAGTTAATTAGAAGGTAACTGTAGAATCTTGCATTTCAAAACCACCTTTTTGTTATTTGTGTTTATTAGAAACATGGGGTTTTTTCCTTCTTTTTAGGAGTGTGGCATAATTTTGTTCTTGGTGTTGCAAGTTTCATGGGTTTGTTTCTGCTGCCAGCCATTCTTTTCCCTTTCTATTATACGGGTGTTGGGGCACTTGTCACTGAGGTCGCAGAGGTAAGAAAAGATCTTTACTGTTTTCCTATTTTGTGACCTGAAATGTGCCTGTATCTTACTATCACAGTCAAATTTGGTCAGTGCGGCACTCAGCAGAATTTAATACATTGCACTTTGTCTGCTTAAAGTTTCTTTCTCAGTCTTATGTTTTTTAGTATCAGTAAATGAAGGAACATGGCATGAATAATGATAGACTATTCAGCATACTATAAAACTAGACGTTTGAGATGAGTTTGCAGGCTTATTTCTGTAGGGTTTTCTAACTTCTTTTCAATATTGGCACCAAGTAAATCTACTGGAAACTGCATTATCACTCTAGTTATTGCTATCTGTTCTTAATGTTAAAGATTATTTTGAGCTGATTTCCTTGCTTGTTTGGACAGCTGGAAGCAAAGTAGAGATAAACTGCTGAGTTTCTGGAAAGGACCGATTTTTTTTCTGACTTAATCAAATACAGCACAGCTGAACATTAGAGCTGAAAGGATTCAGTCTTTCTTGGATCTGAAAGTGAGCTAATATAACTCAGGAGGGGAGTGACATTATGCTTGATACCTTCAAAAGTATAGGTACACCCTGCTTTGTTGAAAGATTAATGGTATTAATTTAAGCTTCTTGAACTTAAAATGGTAGGAAAAAGCACGACATATTAACTTCTATGAAAATAATTACTCAAATTTGAAGAGGTCCACCAGAACACTTGGAGACTTTTCCTTTTCTTTTTCTTTGCAATAAATAAGTTATTCTTTGTTTGGGATGTGTTTTTTGTAATGCTGTATCGGAAGTTGAAATAATCAGTGGAGCCTGAGATTTTCTGTTTCTCTGGAAATAGTGTCTTAACCTAAAGATTTCATGGCTATTTGGCAGAACTGTGAACAGATCCTTGTAGTTTTAACTATAATAACATGACTGACTTCACTGTTTCTTCTCAGGATTCTCCTGCCAATGGACCAAGAGGTCTTTTTGTGGGAGACCTTGTCACTAACCTACAAGACTGCCCAGTTTATAGTGTGGAAGACTGGAATTCCTGTCTGGGAGACATTTCAGAGAAATCACAGGTCGGCTACTGTATAAGTGCAGCCACCCTACAGCAATTAAGCTTTCCAGCTAGAGGTATGACTTTAGGTGCTCCCTTCATTATTTTATATTGTGATTTTTATCATGCCTTAAAGGCTTATTTTGGGTTTAGGATTTGTTGGTGGGGACAGATTTCTCCTAAGTTGAGTCTGCTATCCTGTCTTAAGCAGTGACCAATATGCCATTCATTTTTGTGAAATCTGAAAGGGAGGAAGAGGTAGACAGAAGAATTTCTCTGTCTTCCAGTCATGCTATACAAATATCCTGTGTGATCTGAACAATGAAATTTGCCTCTTCAGGGTATTGCATAACTTGGTTATTAGCAGTAATACAATTATCTCCTCTATTTTTAGTCCAGTTATATGCATCAACTCAGTGATCTTTTGCAGATGTAAATTCCACACATTACCTTACTGCTTTGATCACCATGACATTACAAACTGTATGGCTTAACCCAATGATGTGCTTTATTATGACCACTTCTTCTGATGTGTCTCACTATACGGGTTTTATGTTTCATTTGCTTCTTCAACTTCACAGTGTCATTGCCCATAAACTCAGTTTTCCCTGGATTGCACATATTGCTTCTAGAAGTCAGTCTGTTTCCTTCTGTTTTCATTTATACATTAGAGTGCTTGTTGCTGTAACAGCTTGCCCCTGAGAAACAAAAAAATGTGAACTGAACTAAACTGGAACAATAAACAAAAATTAAGTGGAACAAAAAAGAACAGTCAAGTTAAATTGGCTGAATGTCTTGTGACATGCCCTAAAGCTCTCTGGAGTTTGTTTCATGCAAGCATCCATGGAGACTGAATTCCAAAGGTAAGGGGCTGCCGCTGAACAAAACCTATATGATGCTATTCATAGCTTTAAAATTGTCACTGCAATTTTCCACCATATTGGAAGTAAACAGGAGGTCAAGCAGCTCGACTACCCATGTCTTTTGATGCATTATAGTTCTCTTGTGAGACTGAAAAGGTTATTTATTTATTTTTTTGTATGTAAGGAAAGTAATTTTACAGCTAGAACTAAGATAAATATTTAAACTGGAAACTAGGAGCGTATGGGTGAGATCCTGCTTTTAGAGACCTAGCAGTTTGGATTATCTCTCTGAAGGGGAGGGTGACTTTGGCACATGCTTTCAGCTGAGCAGGGATGGCAAGTAAGAACCAATTTTTAGACACTGTAGGTATGTATGCTCTGATTCTACTGTTCTCTGAAATGCAATTTCAGAGTCATGGATAATAAAACTGCATATTCTGCAACTGAACGAGTCCTATTTAGATTGAAATACTAGAGACTTAATGCTAGAGACTCAATATAGCTTCCAAGCTTGGTGGCTGTATTGTGTTAGCAGCCCATTGTCCCACTGCTGCATTGTAATCAGACCAGTCTGTCTGCATTTTTGGGGCTATAAGCCTCCAGCAGTGAGAAATATTCCTCTGAAATTAGATGAACTCTGTTCGGTCTCTAGCAGCTGTCATTTGTCAAAATCTTGGCAGTTCACAACTTGACATAAATACAGAATATCAATAAAAACGTATCTAGCAAATGGACCCCATCTACTTGACCATAAAACAAATGGAGAGTAAACTATGTGATTGTGAAGCTAGACAGAAAACAATGCCCGAAGGATCTTCTTGAAATTAAAAAAAAAATAGTGTTTTCAGGGTAGTTTTTAAGGAAAATAATTTCATTGTCATTCACTATTCAAAAATATGTGTGGTTGCTTAGCCTCAGGGTACTTGAAAAAAGGATTGTACGATACAATGCTTGCACCTGTAAGCCCCAGGCATAAAGCTCCGTGTAAGTGGATTGCAGGTTATGCAGTGATAAATCAGCAACCAGTATCACGGGCTTGATCTACCTAAGGAAGATACTGCAGTGTTGCTGTGACACAGATTCTTACAGTGAATATTCTTTTGTGTTTGTTTTTTTTTAAAGCTGCTGTTGTAGAGTAAGTCAGGTTTAATTCATTTAAAGAACATCCATACAAAGATTCTGTACCAGACTATTTAAATCACAGTGTAAATTTATTCACTGCTGCAGCCTTCAAGGCTTGGAAAGCTTTCAAAACCTGAATCTTGCAAAGGCATTCACATTTTAAAGAGGACATTTTAAGTCTTCTTCCATAGCCAGCCAGTGAAATCAGTACAGTAGCAGGTAACAAATTTCTATGTCAAACCTTAAGGCAAGTTGGGGGCAACAGATAAAAGTATTTTGTACTCATAATGGTCAGAACATTGCAGTGGTAGATCTTCAGTATCTCAAGGAGATTTATTAAGATGAAAAAAAGCAGTATGTGACACGACTGAAATCAGGTGACATTGCTAAAGTGGTGAAGCTTATTTTTAGTTGAGACTGAACCACAGCTAGGCTTTGTGAATTACTATATTCTTGAAGGCTACGGAATTACTGTTTTACTTTATTCAGAGACTAATTTCTTTTCAGGAAGTTACTGTAATATTGATCATTTGCTCTATGCCTATGTTCTTTAGTCTATAGAAGACTTGATGGCACAGTTGAATGTTGTAGTAACAACAGCCTCACAGACATTTGCTTTTCATATAGCAATAACTTGGACAGCCACCTGGTAAGTTACTTAAACTGCTGATTCTGTTTGGTAAATCTGAAATTATTTAAATTAAATTAGTAAAGTTTACCAGCATTTATACAGCATACTTAAGTACTCAAGAATACCTCCAGTTTCTAATAAAGGTGTATGTGTATGTTATTCTCCCCATTTACAGCTTAAACCCCCAAAGTGTTAGTTATGAGTTTTCCCATGATCAATCAGGGAGTTTCTGCAAGAACCAGAAAAGATTTTATACCCCTCATTCCTTTAAGCAGAAAGACACCTCCCCCATTTTCACCACTGGATGAGAATATTGGTGAGAAAAAAAACAACTTTTGAGAACAAGGCGAAATTGCCTGTTTTGGTGCTTCAGTCTTTAAAGTTGCTGGGTGCTACAGGCAAAACAAAGCACTGGACTATCTGTTCAGTTATTTTGGCTGAAGCCAGCAGTGTTGGTCACTAGGTTAGGCTAACAACATGCAAGAGAAGGTCCTGGTGATTGCCCAGTTTCTCAAAATCAGGACCTGTATTTGATTCCTTTTTCACCATGTTGATTTTATTGTAACATGTGGAAACATAAAAAGTTTCTCAGTCGGATTCTGACTTACTCTTCTCAAAATACAGAAAAGTTTGTTAAAATACACGATGCATATTGACAATGATGTAGTATTTCTAACAGTTCCCTTTACAAGAAGAAGAGCACAAGTACCAACTGTGTAAACTTTTCTACACATACCAGTTTGTTATTGTTCTGACCTCTAGTGATAAATACCTAAAGAAATGGAAGCAGTCTGTTCCTATATCTGCTATGTTTACAGTTTCTACAATGGTAAACTTCCCACTCCAGGGTGTTTTTGTGGTATATAACCACTAAGAATTGAGCACAGACCAGCAGTTTGTTTGAAATATGACAGTGGCTAGTAACATCCTGGAGTTCAGCAAGATTTGATAAATCACTACCCCACTGAGCTTTGACATTCTTAAGCTCATAGCTGCTACTTAGGAACAGAGAAAAAAATGAAAGCATCCAGAAGCCTGTGACCTTCAAGTGTCCTTAGACTGGCTGTGAGTTTTTGAACAGTAATTTTAAATAGTCTTTGCAGTGGAGCAGTATTTGAAAGTGTGCCCTCTCCCCCTTATTAGAATAGAAAGAGCTTGTATTGAGGTTAATAGAGAGTGTCTAGCACTCATGCATCTATGGGGAGTGTAACTATCAGGCTAAGAAGCAGGAAATTTTTTGTTTGTTTGTTTTTTCCCTAAGGCAAACAGTAGATTAAGAACTTTCCTTGCTTGTGTTTAAGAAAAAAAGGAAAATTATCACTGAGCTTTTACGAGAGACACGAGGGGGAAAACCAATTTCCTGTTCCTCTCTGTTGTACTCTCTTTGGTCTATGGGGAGCAAGAAAGATCTGGTCTTTCAGACTGCAGAGTGAAAGACTGTTATAGGTAGGACTCGGGACACAGACTACATTAAGTCCTGTGTTCATCTTAGTTGAGAATTAGTTTTCTTACTTACCACACAGCTGGTAGGTTTGTTGGGTTGTTTGCTGAACAGAAGGTTTTGTTCAGCCAAATGAGGTTTTAGATCAATGAAGACTAAAACTTCTTAAACAGGTAAGTCACTAGGATGTTAATGCAGGCTCTGTTCATTAGAAATTGCTGACTTATGTTTAGATGCCTTGTTTTCTTGTTATGCGTGTGTGTACTTTTAAAAAAATAGTTAGCTTTTATTTTGGTACAGTGTGCACACCCCTCTCTTCCACATTCCACCAAAAATGGAATGACAGGCTGAATATGTGTCAGGTAGAAGTTCTGCAGGATTTGACAAAAAAAAAAAAAAAAACCAACCAAAAAACAGATTTCGGCTCTTCATGAGCTGGTAGTATATCAGTGAGGCATTTGCTTTAAAAAGGAATATATAATACCTTTTATTCTGATCTGTTGGAAAATATCTTTAAATGTTATAATCATTTTAAATGCCCTTTGCAGTATGCCTGTCTGCCAGCACGAAAAGTTATTGAGGCCAGCAAAGTTTGTCGAACCAACATGGACTGCCAGAAGGACTTTGTTCCAAGCTTTTGTGTGACTCCTTCTTTAGAGAACCAAACAAGGCTAATCAGGGTAAAACATCCACCCCATATTGACATGCTGTATGTAGGACACCCCATGCATCTTCAGTACACAGGTTGGTATCATTTATTAAAACAGTTTAACAAAGAAGATTTCTAATATGGTTTACTTTGCCTGGCTGCTTGAACAAGGTCTTGGAGCACTTGTCAGTTAACTTGTTTAATGCAGAATCCATTTCTTGTTACAGCCAGTGGAGAGACATGGACTACTCAGGCCTAAAATGAAATGTGCACAGTGCAATGAGTTACAAAGGTAATAGAAAACATATGTGATATGAGATGGTTGTTTTTTCAGAAAAGTATGAAAGGGCTATTTCTATAGCAGATCTCACTCAGATTAGTTGTGGGAACCAGGCACCTGCATTTTCCTAACACATAAACTTCTCAAAATACTATTGTAAAATCTCTAGGGCATCTTGCTCTAACACCTTGCCTGGAATATTAGCATGACTGCTTAAATCACACTTAATATCCAAGTATTTCCAAGATTCCCAAGACTACTGGGCCACAAGTACAATCACAACAGAGTTTTTTCCTGATTTTTTTTTTAAATTTGAGTCCCACAAATTAAATAACATATAACAGTTTAGTTCCTTACTTTGAAATGGACTATGGCTCTCCTTTAGGCAAGCTTATATCCTTGAGCCAGGTATACAAGTAAAAAGCAATTCTGCTCTTGGAGCAAGTATGGAAAGAATGAACGAACTCATCAGCTCCCCTGCTTAGTAGCTTGAGTGGCATGGTGAAAATTAACTTCAGATGGGCTTAAAAAAGTATGAAGTGTTAAACTACTGTCCCTTCCTCTGAGGAACCTGTCAGTTCCTCAGACAGCTAAGTTATACCTCAAAGGGGGAGATTATACTTCAGACATCTTGAAGTACCTCCTTAGCAACGCATTGTACTTTTCTGAATAGGCACTGGAATTGGGTACAAAAGGGCTTTAGAAACAGTAATGAAATCTGGTAGTGTAAACCATTAGCATTCTTGCATAAACATATTTTTAATTAATCTGTCAGTCTTTATCTGTCTGTGCTGGTCATATTTTGATACTCCATGACAAATTATTTATTTCTCCTTGTTTACACTATACCCTTATTTAAGTTCCAGATATGGTCTCTTCAATTATTTCTGCCCTCCTGCCATTTAGGAGGAAAGCATTGTCACCTGGGTGATATCAATACAGAGGTCTATATTTCATAACATCTATTCTCTCTATAGAATAGATTTTGATAATTACTTTAAGTTCTCTTTCTTGGTCTCTAACAATGCAGACTGTAGGTACTCTAGAACAATTGATATTGTTTCTTTTTCCAATATGTTGGAGCAATGAAGTTTAATCAGTGTTTCCTACTGAACAGTAATTCTGCAAAACAATTGAACCTGTCAGTCTTTCAGAAGTCAGAAAAGAATGTTATTGCAGATAAAGAGGTAGTTCTACTTTAAGAAGTTACTGTGTGAAAATACACATTTACAGTGTATTTACAGGAATATAATTCTAAAGTAATTTACTGTACCCTGGGAATTGCGCATGGAATATGTTAATTTGAGCGAAAAGATTTACTTCATTACAAATTTTGCTGCAAATGCAACCTATGCTCTGTGTTCGCCTTGGAAAATCACCAGAGCTAAAATGATAGGATCCTGGCTTGGGCCGCAAGTAGTCTACTGTACCATTGTAGACTTCCATGCATTCCAGTGAAACAACTTCTAAGTATTTCAGACTTTGCACTGTACAAACCAAGAGGTTGGATTTTATTTTTTCCCCAAATGTGACTGATCAGAATGTGGTAACCATTTTTTTACAGTTAAGAAAGGAAAATACTTTCTTCCTCTACTGTGTGAATTTTGAAATAGAAGTGTTTTAGTGAAATGCGTGTTCTTCAGTGTAATCTTTTTGCCTGCAGGAAACATTACTTTTTAGAGTGGTGCTACATTTAACACCAACCTGATATGGGAGTTGCACTAGTGTGTACTATGACTTTACTTTCTCTAGAAATGTCACTAAAGTAATGTTTGAAAAACATTCGAAGATTATGGGTGCATTATTTTTTGCTTAGGCTTGTATTGTCATCATGATAATCCTGATTTATGGAGAAGCAGTAATTATTTCATATTTTCATTTGAAGCTAGCTTCCAGATGCAGTATTTTTGAATATTTATATCCATATTTGCTACTTAGAAGAAATAGGCTATACAGCTTACTTCTATAAAATGTTTCTGTTTCCCTAAAGTAAAATACCCTAGCAAAAATATTTTTTCTTGATATGGATGCTATACATAGCTCTTGTTTCCAGTATATAAAAATAACAAAACAACAACAACAAAAACCCCCACTCAACTGTAAAGAATCATAATCCTAAATGAGCTTGCAGTGCTGGAGATTTGGCCAAAAATAAAACAGCAGAATGATTAGGAATGCACGTTGTTTAGGGTGGTCACATTGATTAATCCTTTAAATTAGCATTCTCTCTCTAAAAAGTATATAATGTAATCCAATATAAATTCGTACTGTGGGTTTAATTCACGTGGTATTATTCAAGACTTCTAGACCTTTCTTACTGCAGGCCAGTTATGCTCTAGAGGCTCTCCCTGTGTTGAACAGATGATATGTAAAGTTGAAATGGAGGGCCCTGTCATTATTGTCATGCAACTTCGCAGTGTTTCTTCTTTATGGGGGTTTTCATTCCTTCATGTCATTTCTGCTGTTGCAAAATCTTGGCTTGTTTCTCTGGCGCTTGTTGTCTGGGAAGAATCTGGTGACTAACATTCACGTTTGGAATTCACACTGCTGGAGAGAAGATCATATCCCTGAACTTTACTGAATCTGCATCACCCATCAGGAATCAAAACCTGCAAGATTTCTTTCATTAAAAGATGGGATTTACCTAGAAGATAATTTCCCCAAACTGGACCAGTCTCCTGCTTCTGTTGTATCCAAGCCTTCTAATAAAAAGCCACTTCCTAGCTTTGGGGAGTTTTTTGGGCAACAACACCCATAATCCCTGATGAAGGTCTATCTGGTACAGTCTGATTTCTCAGTATTTCCGTGCTTGTTTCCCCTTATTGCTGAGGATGATGATTTACTTTCAACCCATATTTAAAGGGTTACATACATAGTTCTTCTGGAGACCACACAGAAATATCTCATGCTGTAGTGTCCCTCTCCTCCATTGCATACATGCCCTTTCCCCCATGAAGAGGTTTTGAAAAGCTCTTTGGTCAGCCTAGTCTTCAAATCACTTCTAATTAAAATTGTGTCTGTTGTGCATTCTTCTCCATATTTGCCAACACCATCTAGCATTAGCCAACAAAAGGAATGTTAATTCCAGGTCAAAGAATTGTTTAATTAGAATGGGAGAACAATGACTCTTTTCTCTCACCCAGCTTCATTGCTGTTCACCTCTTCCCAGCAGTGTCTTTTGAAGACAAGCCTGGAGAACATAATTTCTGTAATTCCTTTGTTATTCCTTGAAGGACAGATTTGCCTGCTGCCATTAGGTTTGATCCCTTACAGCCACTAAATTTATTGCCTCATGTTAGAGTGTCTAGAGCTCAGTCCAGCAACTTCCTGAAGAGTTTCTTTGTGTTTTGGAGGTTGCTTCAGCAGTAAGGATTGGAGTTTAGATCCATGTCTAGTGGCTGTCAGGGACAACAGTTTGTTGTAACAAAGAGGGAAGGAGATTAATGATCCATTTCTCAATGTAGGCTCAACTTCAGGTTCAGGATGGTGACTTTTTAGTGGCCATTAGGTGTTTGTCAAGAGGCAGTCAAGCTTTTGCAAATTACAGAATATTGCAGTGTGTATCTTTTGAAAGCTTTGAATACACTGGCTGCCTCAGCCATTTTGCTATTTTGGCTCATGAACAAGAGGTCTGATCAGATGTTCTGATACCAGCCTTCAGCTTGATGAGTTGTTTGGTTTGGATATCACTTGACTTGGATGCCTCTGACTTTCTGAGCTGAGTGGTGTCCAGGATTTCTGCCTGTTATGTTCTTCACTCAGTAGTCCCACAGATTTGTTTATTTTCTTTCAGTTCCCCTAAATTGAATGTCTTTCTTAAGTTAAGGTAAGAGAGAGCATGATTTTCAAGCTGTCTTGGCACAGCTGTGGAAGTTTTGGTATTGGAAAGTTCTCTGTTTGTTGTCATTCTTCTTTGGGGACTTCTTGCAATCCAAATCTCTCCATCCCATGGTATCCTTGCTGGTTGGACTAATTATCACTTCTGACTCATCAGAAGGGCCTCTGACAGAAGAAAATGTGTTTATGTGGCTGAGTAGACTAGTTCTCTGCCTCATGTGCCTTTGGAACTACTTTCCTGTTGTCTTTGTTCGATGTCCTTGAAGTGTTTATTGAACCTGAAGAACGCTGATCTTACTCTTAACTAAGATGTACATAGCAGCACTTTTGGTATGTTAGGTACTAGCGCTGTGAGGTTCCCAGTGGTTTTAATATTTCTCAAAGGGTGGGTTACCGTGTTCCTTTCCCAAGGGAGGTTTGTGTTGAGTGGGATTTGAACTCTTGCTTTCACAAATCTCTGTGGAGATGGTATTCTTATGGCTATAACTTTTCCCAGGCTGGTAGGGAAAATTCAGGCCATTGTGCTGGCCTCCACTCATTTACAAAGTTGTTCTTTAGGGACAGAGTGACTGTAGTTGACACTGTGCAACCTCATTCTTAAGGTGATTTTCTAATTCTGCCTTAATTTACCTAAACCTCTTCCTTCTGGGGATAAGACTCCACTATGCTATGAGTGGAACCTTCTAGTAGGAAAGGTGTCTTTCTTCCAGCTGTCACAGAACTCAGGTTTTCAAGTGGTCCCTGAGGCGGGCAACTGAGACTGTTGTTTACTTTGAAAGACTTTTTATGAGACAACCCAGATGGAGCATCCCTGTATTAACAGAGTGCACTCTGGGAGGTCTCAAGCTACCTCTTTGAGGAGTCTCTCAAACATTTGACGTGCAGTCAGCTGAAGCTTCACATACAGCTTCAAAGCAGTTAACAGTACTAAAGAACTGTTTCAAGGTCATGCGGTGCTTGACACTGTGATTTTCCAGGCACTATTTATAGGAAGCATGCTGAGTCCCACCTTCCAGGTTTTTGAGTTGCACTAAGTTACATCTTGGAGTCACTTACAGTATCATCTGAAGACAGAAGAAGAAGCTACTTAGGTACTGGCTAACTACTGTTAAGATGTGTAGTGCAGCTGTGCATCATCTCCTAGCCTTTGCTCTCTCAGAGTGATTCCAAGAACTCTGCTCCCTGTCTGCTCCTCTCCTATACACCATGAGCTCAGCCTCAGACTGGGAGGATCTTCTGCAGGTACTGCAAGAAAAGAATTTTCTGGCCTTCAGAGAAAGTACACGTGAACACCCACAGTATGAATGTATACATGTGGACTGCATATGTCTGGTAATTGTAATCTCTTTTTATACATTTTTCTTTGAAAAGGACTTAAATTACACAATGTGGTCTTTATGGCTACAGATGTCCAGTTGCCTCTGAAAGTATGTATCTTACTGAAATCATGCTAATTGTATTTTGTGGAGTAACTTTACTATCATAGTGAGCATAGTTAAGAAGACTTAACGGCTGCACTCTTTTAAAAACAAAATCCAAGCAAAACTGTTTAGATTGGTTATTCATCCTTGAAGAAATGTCATTTAGATCTGATTTTTCTGCAAAATTATAATCTAAAATTCATAATGTTATATTCCTGGAATGACTGTTCATGTTTGTTTATCTTTATGTTTTCATTTCAGTAAGTCTCAGCAGTTTTGTACCACGACAAAACTTTCTAAGCATTGGTCTGCCTGTGGTGATAGAGACATTTTGCAAGTATCCTTTGAAGCATGTTTGTTCTTTTAAGGCAAGAAGGGAACTGTTTAGAATTTGGTGACCCAGCAAAATTTCAGTTGGATATCATTTTAGACAGAATGTTCTGAAACATTTCTGTAGAGTTTTGACATCTTTATTCCGTCGCTGCATTGATTATTGTCCATGTGCCAAGCTCAAAATGAAATCTCTCACTTTCTTGTGCTTAGCAAGATAGTTTTGGTCAGTGCTTTTTTTAACTCTTTCTTGAGGGTGAGTCATAACAGGTCTGATGAGAAAGTCAAAGTAAGCCTGAATTTATGGCAGGACAAATGAGATGTTATTGCTAGCTTTGGTATGTCAGAGTTTTATCATTTTTGAGTCATTATACTGAACTAAATAACAAGGTATGGTTGTTCTTTTATTATTTTTTTCTTCAGAAAAGAAAACTTAGCCTATTCAAAAAGCAGGATGATAATTCAGTCAAAATATGCTTGTTAATAAATGAGGTGATATATATACACATACATAAAGATTAGTAGGCTTGAATATAATAGCTAATCTAAGAACTCTTGGCCTTAGAAATTGAAATGGTTATGCGTGGCTATAGAACAATTAAACAGTGTAGTTCAGTGTACTCCATAAAACTAGAGTAAAGATGCTGCTTGATCTCCCCTTTTCTGGGAACTCGCCAAGGTTCACGCTGACCCAGCTGCTTTCTTAGTCATATGGCTTCTTGTCCAGCCATTATAGGATGCAGGCAGGTATGACAGTTAGCAAGCCTTTACCAACAATAAAAATTATCTACCATTGCCTCATTTTCACATGCACATGCATGTACAGAAATCCACTCAACTTTTCTGGCTGACAGGTAAGTAGGAGAGAGAGACCAGATTCCCAATTATATTCTAGCCATTTACTTACTCCAGCAAGGGAGTGTTTTGGAAAATGTTCCTAATCGTTATTTCATAGTTAGGTCATAGGTCTAGAATACCTTCTTACTACAGGCATGGTGTCAGAGCTATAACCTTCCTCCAAAACCACACAAAGCAAGGGAGGAAGATGGGCAGTATTAAATGTGATTTTGCTGTCTTCTACTTTCATATGAGTTGTGAAGGATGCAGGTTGTTTTAAGTATCCAAACCTAGTGCTTGAAAACAAATTAATTCTATAAAGGCGATTCTCTGAGCTCGTATGTTATGGTGTAAAACTCATTGTACTCGTATAATTTCTGTGTAACAGAATGGCAGCTGAAAAAAATAACCCTCATATGTTTCTCTCTGCATACTAGAAATAAAAAATATTTTTTACATTTTCTTGAATATTATTCATGAACCTTAACTAATGTCAACCAGGTACCTAATTTCACTGTCAGGAGCACTGGCAGTTATCAATGCTGTACCCTGCTTTGCTTTGGATGGCCAGTGGATATTAAATTCATTCCTGGAAGCGACTCTGAGCTCCGTGATTGTAGAAAAACAAAACAGAGAGCTTGTTGGCTTTTTAATTTTGCTTGCTGGTAGTGCACTTTTGGCTGCCAATGTTGCACTGGGACTTTGGATGGTGACGGCACGATAGAACATTGGATACGCTTCCATCAGTTCTCAAAGTACACAGAAATAATGAATCCATTGCCTTTTAAATCTTGTTCAGTACTGAGATTGAAATAATTCCCCTAAAATGACACTGAAAGAGCAATCACTGGTGGCTGCTGTTTTAATTTAAAACTGTACAAGGTTGTGCCTGTGGTCATGGGAAATGTAATAGAAAGAAGTAGGAACCATTTCTCTTTAAGCACTGTACACATTTTGGAGAAATTGCATTGTAAAGTTTCACAGGAAAAAGCCTAAGACTTCATTAATTTAGATCTCAAAATAAGGGAATTATTTGGCCTCAAACATTTGTAAAGTGGGAGGTTTTGTTTTATTATTTGAATAATTGTCAGAAAATCTGTGTGGGCTCTGATTATTTCTCAGTCAGCATAGTCTAGAGTGTCTTGTCTTGTTTTTTTTTTTTTAAATCTGCTATTCTACCAAACTGGACTCTAAGAAGCCCTAAAGTCTGATCTCAAAATGGTGAAAGGCTGAGTAAATGCTTACCATGTGTTAATGAGGAGAGAGAGGCCATATGGTTTAGTATCTTTCCTTTTCAGCTGGCCAAAATGACTGGAAGCATGTTCTCCTCAGGATGTAGATGAGAAGTGCCAACGTCTGTTAAGAATGAGGCATGTGGGAGGATAACAAAGCCCACATGTCTGTGTTTCTTACACATTCAGTTGCATATTATCATACATAGCTGGAGATTTTTTTAAAGGCAATATTTGTCAGCAATAGCTACAATTAACTGAAATTTAGTTTCTGAGTGCTGAAGTATGCTGTGCACAATTATTCCCAAGTGATAAGAAATGTTTATGTTGTTTTACTCAGAAAATAATACTGTATTAATCCTGTTTACAGTTAAAAGTGAAACCTGTTGTTTTTATGGTGTCTATCTTCTGATGCTATGCATGTAATATGTACAGTAACTCACTGATGGTTTTCTGTCTTTCAAAGGGTTGTTTTCCTTTGCTAGGATTCATTCTGTTCAAAGTTAGCTAACAAAGATGTTTAGCTGAAGCTGGTCTTGAATCAGAATTGTTTTGAGGAAGACTTTGATTGTGAATCGAACTATTTAAACATTTGGCTTTGCTTTCTGAAATGAATACAGACCATATCCTTGTTCTTAAATGAACAGTGGAAGAATAGTTAGTGTTTTGCTGTCTGAAGTATGTCTGACATACTTTGGAGCTCTTCAAGTCTGTAATAGTTTGTATCCAATAGGATTATATATTGACTGTCATGTCCTCCTGTGATATATTGCCTAGTTTGTATAAATCAGGTTCAGTCAGAGTCTTGACTCAATATAGGCTGCTATTGAAAATTTTGAAAAATACCCTGCAACTTCTGGCTTGTACAGTGCTCCCACTAGGAGCTGCTGCAGCTCAGAGTTTCTTTACAGAAATGGCCTTTCCATCAAGAACTGAAATGAAAAATAAGCTCACGGATACTGGCCTGCAGGGAGTACTGAAGTGTTCGTGACCAGCTAACACAGATTCTCTTGGCACTAGAGGTAAAAGCCTGAGTAATTTTAAAAGTGGGGTTGAGCCCAATTGCTGGTGCTACTGCATGGATTTGTGACTATGATGTTTGCATTTGCCTGCTGATGTGTTACTGTATTTTTGTGCAGTAGCCTTCACACTTACTTAAGATGCATTCTTTTCTTAAGATGATGCAAGCAGTAATGAGAGCGCATGTTTTTTTATTTGTTGTTGTGTTAGTTTGCTTACCTCTCCAGTGCTCCAGGCTGGGTGGGCCTCTTGAAGTTCACCTCTGTGGGGTGGCAGGCCCATGGCTCTCATTTTCAGTCGTTTCAATGCAGGTATGTCAGCACAGATCCCGGCAAGAGAGAGTAAATCCTCCAGTCAATCCAGCGTGAGTTGGGCCCTTTGGGGACTGTCAAAAGTCACACAAAGTGCAAGAAAGGAAGAACAAACAATCAGAAACTGCCAGCAGGCTTCTCTTTCTTCTGGAGACACCCTGAAAGTCTCATCATCACTCCTGGAAACATATAGAGGTTTCAGCGTAGCAGTTCTGATGGGCCACTCTGCCATCTGTCTCTCCGTGGACAGGAGGGATAGGAGCAGCCTGGTTCTTGCACAAAGCCTGGCTCTAAGGCTAGGCTATGCTCCAGAAGCCTGCTCACTCATCTAAGTGGCTGCTTACAAATCTGAGCTCTTCCTTTCAGTGGCTCTGTGCCACTTTCCTCTGTCTCTATGTCTTGTCCAATCTGCGGTGCACAAAATTAATTTGCATTTAGGAGTTTTAAGGCAATTTAGTAAAACAGGATACTTACTTTCCACAATGTCTACTATTTCAGAGTTGCAGTGTTGTCTTACTATCTAAAGCCACAACAAATGCATATATAGTGATTTCAAAATTATTCTGTGAAAAACATTGTGTACTGTGTCCAGTTTTGGGTACCACAGTGTAGGAAAGATGTTGAGGTCCTGGAGTGGGTCCAGAGAAGGGCAACAACACTGATGAGAGGTCTGGAAAACAGGTCTTATGCGGAGCGGCTGAGGGAACTGGGGTTGAGCATAGTGAAGAGGAGGCTGAGAGGAGACCTTATGGGTCTCTGCAACTACCTAAAAGGAAAAGGCCGGTGCTGGTCTCTTCTCCCAAGTAACTAATGGCAGGACAAGAAGAAATGGCCTCAAGCTGCGCCAGGGGAGATTTAGATTGGACATTAGGAAAAATTTCTTTACTGAAAGAGTGGTCAAACATTGGAACAGGCTGCCCAGGGAGGTGGTGGAGTCCCCATCCCTGGAGCCATTTAAAAGATGTGTAGATGTGGCACTTGAGGACATGGTTTAGTGGTGGGCTTGGCAATGTTAAGATAGTGATTGGACCTGATGATCTTAAAGCTTTTTTCCAACCAAAATGATTCTATGGTTGCAAATTTGATACTTTCATGTTGACTACAACTGCTTGGGGCAATCTTTTAGCGTAGTACCCACTTGGAGATGTAGCCAAGAAATTTAAAAAAACAAAGTTTCTGAATTATCATGCACAAGTTACATCTGCTATAATGAGGCTGGCAGGTTGTTCCTGGTTATTTAATGTGCTACCAAAACATGACTTTTTATCAAAGGAAACTAAATCCAGTTTATTTTACTTCACACAATCACTGAAAGCCACAGTTGTACTAAGTAGAACTTCAGTCTGTGTTTGACCTCATGATCAAAAAGAGGATGGAGAAGACATCAGTCATGGTTTTAGCAAAACAGACACACTAGTACACTGTAAAGACCCTGCTTGTCTTATATAGGAGAGATAGTACTAGAAGTGTTCAGAAATAATTCATGAGTCCATTTCTTCATGTGCTGGAATTCTACTGAATAAGGGTCGATTTAGGTGCTTTGAATCAAGACTTCAAGCAAACTGGGTATGAATGGTGACCCAGCACATCTTAGATTACCTGTGGACAAAGGTTATAGTTAAGTTGGACCACTCTCTGAAGAAAAGGTTCTTCAGTGGATCCATTTAATTCTCCTATAATCCTAATGTATGGATTATGTTCTGATTAGCAAGTGCAATACACAGTTATTGGGAGTGGGTTTGCTGGGGTTTTGTTAAGCAAGAGAGAACACAGAAGGACACAGGATGGTCTTTGTGTGCTGGATTTTTACTCTGGAGTATTTGTGATGTTTCTTCTATTTCTGTTTTTGTAAAAATTGAAAAGAAGGCTTTCCTTAAAATTAAATCTTTCCATTTCTCGTTCTAATTAGCGCCTCAGAATGTAACATATTCTGTAATATAGAAACCATCAATATAATTATAGGGCATATTGACTGGAGTATAAAACAGAACACTCTTAAAAGTTGGATGGATACTACTATTGATGTATATACGACGCAGTTTAAATCTGTATCAGATGGAAAAAAAGTAATGTCTAACATTGGGAAGTGTTAGACGTACCTTTTACTTGGAAATTGCCAGAACAATTCCATAATTATAATCAGTCATTTTTCTGATTTGTTTTTTATGAGAGTTTTTTTTACATCAGCAAAGACTTCCATAGCCTGTTCTGATAATGCATGATGAGACATGAAAATGGCTAACCTCTTAGCATGTGGGATGTTACATGCTCTTTGCTGACTTAGGACCTTAAAACCAGCTTGCGTCTTTACAAGTTAAGTGAAAGAGACTTCACTAGAAAATGTATAGACAAACTTGCAGATTAGTCAGCCCGTATTTATGAGCCACAGTGCAAAATCTGCTAACTCATTCTTTTTATTTAGAGTGAAACAACCAGCTGTATTGACAGTTACTTTTTTCAGTGATGATGATTCTGCGTTTGTGTATATGTGTGTGTGTACATGCATGCATACATATAATAGATACATACACAGCCACAGTCTGTGTTGCTGCTTTTTTAGGGATAACTTACAGCAGTCCTCCTTGCTCTGCAATGTAGGCTTCTTTTTTCTTTTTCATTCTCTCTGCGAATTCCATGGTTTTCTCTGGATTTTAAAATTGCAACTAGGTTTTTCTCCCAGAACTGATCTAATTTCTATTAACAGAAGACAAGTGGTGGACATAATGTAACCACAGCTGCATGAGTTTTGTTCAGCTGATGTTTAAAATATGTTTCTTGCTTTCTATGAGGCCTCAGCTACAAGTGTGGTAAACACAGATTTTTCAGGGCAACTAAAAGAGGTCAGCCTTAGAATCCCTCACTCTCTAAATGCTGCTATTTATGCTGTTCTGAATGATAACTGGGATGAGTGAGACTGTGTAGAGCATACTGAAGAAATAATGTTTTTCAGGACAGACCTCCCCATGTCAGTCAGGGTGTTTCAGCTTTCTTGAAATAAGAATATATTTTTGCTCAGTTTAGAACATCAACAATCCAAGTTTTCCAAGTAGTTTCCTATACATTTTACATGACAGCAAAGAGTGACCTGTAGCAAATATTTTTTAAAATAAATTCTGTATGTCTTCTATCTGAAAGATCTGAATTTGTATCTGGATATCATT